AAAAAATATTTATTATTTTAAAATAAAAAATAAATATTAATTATTTTATTAATTATCAATTATTATTCATAATATAATTTTTTATTAAAAAAGGTGTATGACCTTAACAGGTAAGTTAAATGTTAAATTTGGTCCCTCAACTTTAGTGAGTTGCATATTTTTGATCTCTCAACAATTTTTTACATTTTTTTGATCCCTCAACTTTAAGAAATGCACTCCGTTAGTCTTTTTGTCAATTTAGACCGTTAACTACGACATGTGGCATTTTTTATAATTTTTTTGATGACATGGCAAAAACAATTTAAAAAAGCATTGATTTTGGATTTTTTTTTAAGGCACGTCATCGCTAACTCATCCAATTCATTGCCAACTCATAAACTGATTTTACCTTAATAAAAAAATAAAAAATTACAAATTTACCCATCTCCCTTTATTGATCCATCTTCTTCCCCTCTTTCGATCATCTTCTTCCTTTCTTTTTTTTCTTTTTCTTTCTTCCTCTTCTTCCTCTGTGTTTGCTGGGTTTGATGGAACCCAGCAACTGGGTTTGATGGAACCCAGCAACTGGGTTCACCGAACCCAACAAACTGGGTTCCTCAAACCCAGCAGATCTGGGTTTGGTGGAACCCAGTTGCTGGGTTCCGTGAACCTAGCTCCACTTTTTTGTTTTTTTTTTTTTTGTTATATGTTTATTTGCGAAGAGATTATCTAAGTTGCAAGGTTCAAAATGGAAAGAACAGAAGCAGTTGGGTAAAGAAGCAATTCTTAGTGGGTTTCCATTTGTTTGGTTGGAAAATGGTATGGTTTGGGCGTTTGGATGCTGAGAAAATGTTTTGAATTTGTTTGGTTGAATTTATATTTAGATCATATAAAAGGGAAAACTTTTTTAATATTTATTTTTTTTATTTATAAGATTTGAATTCAAAATTTCACTTAAAAGAAATTAAATTTTTTTTAATTAAAACAATAGGTTATTGGTAAGAAGAGATACAAGAATCATAAGGAGATCACCCATCTTATAATTTCTCTCATCCAAGCACGCTTAATTAAGTGATATACGTTTGATGACATGATGCGTTCGACTTGTTTTTTTTTGGTAGAAGTTCGACTTGTTTGTAGCGGTCGGTCACACTTCCTCGTTCTGATGACGAATTGAATTTACTCCAGGGCCTGAACTCAATTATTATCAATAAAACATTTTAGGATCTTTCGTTGAGTAGTTGAATGGCGCTCTCTGCTCTAACAACGAAAGGGTGGCTGATTTTGAATTGGGAAATGATTGGAACATTTTTTTATTTGATATATTTATTACTATTTATTAATTTAATTATTAAATTATATTTTTTTTTTCACTTTAAATT